TGTAACAACCACTTTTGGGTCTGGCTCCTTCCTGCACTCTTAGCTGGGCACCTAGTGCTGTTGCTAACAAGTCAGTCTGATGTCCCATTGAACCAACCCCTTGAAAGACGCGAACCAACTCGGCAATGCTGCAACTCTCTCTTTTAGGAAGGGTCTGCAAAGCTCCTTTACAGTCTGGGTTCGCATTTTCGAAAGCCAACTGGCTGTTAAGTATTTCTCTGACTTCATCATTTTCAGTCTTCCTTTCTAAGGCAAACTGCAACTGATACAAGAATTGGGGGTATGGTTCTGACGGGCCTTGTATTATTTTTGTGAATGATAAATTGGTGTCTCGATCTGATGTGGGTAATTTTCTCATAGCTCTTAGGGCATGCTTAGCTATTACCTCATATATTTCTCTACAGTATTTAGACTGTGCATCTGTTGAACTATAATTTCCATCCCCGGTTAATTGATGTGCTATGATGCCTGCTTGTGGGTCATTAGCATATGCAGAGCAATTGTCCCTAAAATCGGTTAGCCACACATTGTACTGAGTGTTAGTAAGACTTATTTTTAGTAGGGTCTTCCAATCGTGTGGCATAAAAACGTAGGTGGAACTTAGTGTCTCTAAAAATGCAAGGGTGTTAGCGGAGGACATGCCAGTTTCCCTTACCAGTTGCCTCAGTTCCTTTGTCATCTCATGTGACAGAGGTTGGAACTGAGGGGCCTGACGTGGGCGAATAACGACTGGGCATGCATGAATTACCTGCAAATCTCCCACCCGTAATGCTTCCTCCCGACACAGTCCCCACCTGTAAACCGATCCTTCCCCACCTGCCTCCTCGCTCCCTCCAGACGGAACCATCCCTGGTCCCTCCTCCTCATCCCCCCATGCCTCCCCCCCTGTGGCCCCACTGAACCCGGTTCCCTGTGGGGGGGGTGGTACTCGGTGGTGGAGGCAGCGTGGGGGAGGGACCACTCCCCCCCTCATGCTGGCGGCTGGAGTGGGGCAGCGTTGGGGCCGAAAGAGATGGATCGGCTTCCGGTCCGTTTGGCAGGCAAGATGGCGGCACCCACCCCAGGACATGTGGGCAGCGGTCATCCTCAGCGTGGGGTGGCAGATAGGCTGGGTTACCCCCCTCATCGCTGTAACAGCCCCGTGCGCTGATCCCATGTCTTGGGATCTCGCATTTCAGGCTCTGTTCCCTCCCGGCAACCTATGTTCCCGTGGCCCCCAGCTCGCGACCTGTAACTTAACTCACGACCCCTTCCCCTCCCCCCAGTGGACCTCGTGTTCCTATGCCTAGAAGTCGGGCTGCTGCTAGCAGTGTGGGCAGAGGGGTGTGTGTTGGTGTTGGATGCTTGTATTGTCTGTTCGTGGGCTCTATGTAGTGCAGACATTATGATTTGCCAGGCTGAAAAGGCGTTGTTAGCCTGGGGGTCCCCCCCCGGGCTTTTAGTTTTATGAGGTTTCCTATTTTATGCCAAATCTCTATCTGAAGAACTTCCACTAACGGCAACTCAGGAACTGCTGCTTTAATGAAACGTACAAGCTCTGTTAGTTCAGCCCTTGTGGCTTGTATGTGGTATGGTTTTAGCAGAATGACTAGTGTGTCTGTGTCTTGTGAGATTTCGGTGGGAAAAAAGTTTCACATGTTTTCTTTACCTTAGTCTCGGTGGAGGACGCACGTGGCCGGAATTTCTCTGTTTGGCTGCTTTTGGTCTCGGTTTCTTGGTCGACTGCTTCTTCAAGGCTTTTTTCCTTTTAACGTCTCTGTCGGTGTTCGGCGGGGCTCTCCGGCGGCTCCAGCGGCTTGGGAGCAATGGCGGATGGCGATGAACAGCGGCGGACGGCGACCCCTCGGCACAGTGCGGGCTCCAGTGGGTGCGACGGGGAAGCGGTGAAAGGTTTGTTCAGGGTCTGTGCTGCTCCTAGTGGTCTGTTCCTCGGCGTGGAGGCACTGTGCTGTCGTTACAGGCAGGAACGGATCAGCAGGAGGTGGCTCCGGGGCTCCCCCGGTACGCTAGGCGCTGTGGGGGGTCCGGGTGCCGGCGGGGTCACGGCAAGGCTTCGGTGGGTCCCACACAGCTTCTAAGTGTGGCGCGGGGCCAGCAGAGGTGGCGGGCGGACGCGGGCGGACGGTAGGCTGCATGGAACTGCGGTGCTTTTTGCTGGGTAGAAAGGTGTGCTGGCGCGGGCTTCGTGGGGTCGAGCGGTGGGGCTGGGGGTGTTGGAGAGTGGCTCAACCGCGGCGGCAGTGGGCGGCAGGGGTTTCCCAGTAGTTTCAGTATGCTCCGCCACCCGGGTTTTCTGAGCTGCCGGCACACAGCTGCTCAGGGAGCAGTCCTAGTTTTGGTGTTAGGTGCTAGTATTGCTCTCAGCTCACTCACCGCTCTGCAAAATGTTGGACCCCGCTCCACTGCCTCCGACTCCTGCTCCGGTCTCTCGGTTTCTTCGTTTCTTCTTTCTTCTTTGTTCCTGTGCACTTTTCCCTAATATTTTTGATCTCACTATATTAACTTTCCATTTCTCATATGCGACTGAGACAACGGTTTTACAGATGTCTAGGGTTTTTTTGGTTAAAATTCCCGTCTCCACAGAATTGAGACGATTAACGGAATTACCGATTTTTTTACCTGATTCAGGATATGCTAAACTCACCTAATGTAGGTTCTCAGTCCAAGTTCGGTGCACCATGTGTTGGGGTGGCGGTCTTTATATGATAAAGAATGAGTCTGCTCTCCTATGTGGGTGGAATCAAAGAGAGCTTATTTGAATCTCGCGCCCCCTTTTATCCCCTAAAATCATGTGACCTTCCAACCAATGGGGTTATCCATATAGGCGCATGCTCCCTTGGACTTCTCTGCCCCGGTACGTCCCCTGTACCTTAGACATGCCTCCTACAAGGGGTAAACACTTGGCTATCACACATAGATTCTATCAAATGAATACTGTACAGAACCCCCAAGCCATGGTCTGTCACCATCCGCCTTACGTCTTTAATAAGAGCATACGACAGACTCTCTCAATGCGGGTCCTGGCCAGGCGAAACCGGAACCGGGAAAGCTTTTAAAACTGCTGCATCCCCCGCTCATCTCACCTCACCCCTAACTTGCGCTCACGTGTCATGAAAGTCAGGAGAATATAAGTTTAAATCTTTTTCCTTATATTTAAATTCTGGATCTTCCTCAGAGTCCTCCGATGGAGAAACCGACGCTGCGGCAGCGATACCGTGTTAGTGAAGTTCGCGGGGATGGGGTGATGGTGAGGACTTTGTTCTTGGTCGCACTGCGGAATCCGCGAATAGCAGTGGCAGTGACGATGGCGGTGACGGGGCGGAAGGCGTCAGCAATGGTGCCATGGGAGATGGCATCAGCGGGGCAGGGGGCGGCAGTGAAGCAGAAAGCATTGGCTCCTTCTGCGATGGCGGCTTGAAATCGGCCGCTGTTTCTGCGCGCTCCCCTCCGGAGCTGGCATGAGCTTGCAGAGCCTCAAAAACTACTCTCCATGATGTTAATAGAGAGGTAGCCATTTATCGCCTAACGTAGCACTGTCCCAAATTTTTTAACCAATATCATCCCAAACTTTCAGATCATATATTGAGGTGGTATTTATCGTGGTATCAGCTTTCGATGCCCACAGCAGGAGACGTTCTAAAATTTCTTCTTCTACCGTCCTCCTGTATTTTTTAAGGATTTTAGCAGAGGCTTGTGATGCAGCCTTTTGCTGTTTGGTTAAAGGAGTTCCCATTTCATTCTCAGTTGCTTAACTTATCATCCAGTGTAAGGTGATTAAGAACTCTCTTTTGTCGCTTCCTTTCAGTGCTTTTTTCCTCATGTTCAGCTGAGCTACGCCACCGGAGAAACAACTAGTTTCTTTCATGCCCCACGTTGGGCAACATTTTGTGGCGTATTGCGAGGCATGGACTCAGGGGGTGAAGAACTGAGACATTTTATTCAAAAGGACACAGCCTTTTATAACCAACACAAACAGGAAAACATTCCTTATAAGGTAAAAACTGTGACCGCAGCATCTGATTGGCTGCTAGCTGTCACATGGGGACATGGTAGGCTTTTGGGGCTGCAAACTCATTCCTGTGATGAGTTGCTCTGTACTCCTCAAAGGTCTGGTTCTTTTCCAGACCTTCAGCCTGCCTATTTCCCACATGTGTTTCTTCTGCTTCAGTTTCATCAATTGTTGTTTCTGGTGATTGTTCCTGTTTTGAGGAAGAGTTAATATAAGGTCTGACACACTTAGAGGGGACCCATATCCACTCCTCCTTTTTTGTTTTTGTAATATTTCTTTTAATGTGCGATGTGCTCTCTCAACAATAGCTTGTCAAGATATGGGGCAAAGAATGACCAATTGTAAAAGGGATGCTGAGGTCCTGTCATACCACTATAGTAACTGCTATGAGGTTGTGGTGATAAAACTCCACTATTGAAAGGTCCATTGAAGGAGGTTGTAGAAGAGCAAACTGATGAAGGCTGACTGAACAGAGATGTTGCTCTTGCAGGTACTGGACTGTCCCTGGGGAGGGGGCCGTACCAGGCCGTGTCTCCGCGTCCCACTGTGAGCACGGAGGGGCAGGAGCAGGGCTGGGGTTGCAACTGTGACTCGACACTGTGGTCTCCAACACCCTGCCCAGGCCGGTGGGACCTGTGCAGGGCCATGCTCAGGGTGGCCGTGCCGCGTGGGCACGGGCTGGGCCAGGTTGGGGCTGAGCGGAGGCCCGGGCTCTGCTGGGCGAGGCTGGACCCGATTTCCCACCGGTGCGCCGGGATTCCCAACCTGGTGTGGGGTGCGGCACCGACGGATGCCGATTCCCTCGCCATATTAGGCTTGGAGCTGCTTTGGGGAGCAAACGGCTCTCCCGCAGAGCTGGGCAGGGGCCAGGCCGGCACTCCGACCACACGGGGCCCAGAACCCCTTTCTCACAGGGGGCCTGTGCAGGCTGTGTCTCTGTGTCCTGCTGTGGACCAGGGGTGGTCGCACCTGGAGACCCCAGTTCCACATCTCAGGGTTGCTCCAGCCTCTTCTGCGCCGACTTCCTGCTCGGTTCCCCAAACTGGGCTCTGATCGGCGACTCCACCTCCATGTCTCGGCAACTCCTCTTCCTGCCCGACAGCCCCCTCATGGCCAGGGCGCACAGCAAGCGAAGCCGCACCGGGGGCACAGGGCGGGCGCACTCGGCAGGGGTGGATCCACGGTGTCAGGGGCTTGACTCTTGCCATACACCCCCTGGCCACCCCCCGCCCCACTGCGCTGCCACACTTACTGCTCTCCAATGTGGCGTGGGTGCCGCCGTGGCTCTGCTGGGGACGCAACCTCCGGGGGAAGTGCGGTCGCCCCCGCACTGCTGGAGGAGGTACCAGAACATCCTCGCACGACCAGTCATCCTCTTTAGGAGGGGACATAACCCTGTGTCCTCCATAAACTCACTGCCTCCCAGATCATCTTCAGGCAGGGACACACGAGAACATGGCGGCAGGGGCAGAAGAGATGCCCCCATTTCCACCCCACAGCAGGAGTAACATGGCTGCGCCCATGCCGCCGAACAGCCGCTACGTGGCAGTCCCACATCTGCTGGAGTTAGTTTCTTTCACACCATATTCAAAGTATCCCTTAGTTCCCTCCACATGACCAGGTTCTTAAATGCGTCTAAGTCTCCAATAATCTCTCTCATAAAGTCTATTGCCAATTTTTTACCAAGCATTCATTTGATGGGTTCCGACCAGCGGAAGTCCCGGTATTGTCACGGCAATACATATTAAAAATGCCAGCAGTTTATTTTCTGTTACATTTTTTTTCTGTTTTTTTAAAAACTGGCATATGGCTTCAGCATTCTGTTTCATTGCACAGGAATTTCTTCCCCCCATCTCTGGTTGCTCACCTCTGTTTGCTGAATGCCAAATTTTTTTCTTTTTTTTTCAATCCTTATTTCTTTTGTCCTATCCTTCCGGAGGTGACTGGCACGCGCAGTGTGTTCGAGTAGTTCCTCACTTTCCTTTGATTTCAACCGGGGGATGCCATAGGTAGACGTCCCAACAACCTAATGCCACAGGTTCCCTACATCTCTTTGATAGTCCCTGATACAGGGCGCCATTTATGGCACTGAGGGCATGGACCAACCAGATTGGGTGCAAAATGGTAAAATCATGGGCAAACACTCCTTTATATACCCCTATGACATCATGTGGTATTTCCCCTACGGTTCTTAGCGAGTCCTTCCAATGGGCATGCTCCGTCAAGTCCTTCTCCAGGGGCTTGATGCAGAGACTACATTTCCCATGCTTCTTTGTGACATACTTTCTATACAGTGTTAACGCCTTCTACCACAGTGCATGAGTGAGTGGGGGTTGTCTTGGGGTTTGTTTTCTTTTCCTGTTTCTCAGTTTCTCATTTCATTTGCTACTTCTTTGTAATAAATACTGCATTTTTGAACTTTGAACGGTGTCATAGTTTTACCCCGGCAACCTCCCGGTAACAGAGTTGGAGTTGTTCAGTATGGAGAAGAGAAGGCTCCAGGGAGATCTCAATGCAACCTTTCAGTACTTAAAGGGAGCTTATAAAAAAGTGGGAGAGAAACTTTTTACATGTGATAGGACAAGGGAGAATGGTTTTAAACTAAAATAGGAAAGATTTAGATAAGATTAAATGTTAGGAAGAAATTCTTTACTCAGAGGGTGGTGAAGCACTGGAACAGGTTGCCCAGAGAAGTTGTGGATGCCTCCAAGCTTTCAAGACCAGGTTGGATGAGGCCCTGAGCAACCTGATGTAGTGGATGACATCCCTGCCCATGGTGGGGGGTTTGGAACTACATGATCTTCAATGTCCCTTCCAACTCAAACCATTCTATGATTCCATGACAAGGCATCCAAAGATCCAGATTAAATCTGTTGCATGTGGTCAGTGTGCCAAAAGATTGTTCAAAATGCACTGATGTCAACCCTGTTGATAATGAACTGGACAGATATGGAGGCACAAACTATGGATGGACTGACCAGACAACTCTGAGAATATGAAGATAATCTCACTTCCTCCCTACAGACCTGTGTCTCAACTGTGAAGAAACTGGCATAAAAGAACATCCAAACAAACCAAGAAGGGGATAAGTCTTCCTCCTGTACTCCAACCAAGACCTCAGCTATTTAGAGTCAGCCTTTTTCTGTTCAGTGGAGAGGGTACTGGTGGCACACACCACGTGCAACCCTGTGGTTCTTCCTGTGTGACCAGGGGAAGAACATGAGGAAGTGGGATGGTGAACCTACCTGGAGACTAGAATCTTGGGTACAGGAACAGCAAGGAAAAACAACAACCAAAAAGAATCCATTCAGGAAAATGACTGCTTTTGTGTCTATTGGGCACAGTAGAAGGACTGATCATACATTTGACTCTTGTTTTCCAGTTACAAAAATCAAGTAAAGATTCTGACCAGGAATAGAGGGTCCTTGCCTTTGTCTAGGCAGAGGAAAGGGACAACTGGATTTACTGGACTGTATGGGTTTGATGGCCTGGCACGTCAGACCCACAGGAGTATAACGCTCTAGTGGACACAAGTGCACAGTGTACTCTAATACCATCAGATTACAAAGGGGCAGAACCTATTTGTATTTCTGGAGTGACAGGGGGATCCCAACAACTGACTGTATTGGAGGCTGAAGTGACCCTGACTGGGAATGAGTGGCAAAAACACCCCATTGTGACTGGTCCTGAGTCTGCTTTACTGTGGAGATTAAACAGCTGTCTACCTTGCCTGATATCTCAGAGGACCCTTCTGTTGTGAAGTTGCTGAAGGCCAGATCACAGCAGGTGTCAGTCACTACTGTGGGGAAAGGACTGGGGATAAAGTTAAAGAAAACTGGAAAGTAACGAAAATTGCAGTCAGCATACGTGCTAAGGGGGGATGAAATGGAAGATGGAGCAGAGTGGAAAGTTACAGACCCAGTTATAGCAGTATGGAAAATTATAGGTAGAAAATGCAGTTGCTACTCCCTGGACGGGATGCGGTCAGCATGCCCAGCTTCCCATACACAATACCTGATAAGGGGGACTAAACACAGGGTGGAGCAGAGTGGAGACACCATGGCCAGGCTTTGTTGAAAACCTTGCAAGATGGGGAACTTGCAAGAGGTGGTTCCTTGTAGCTGAACAGCTGCATAGCAACTGTCAAACAAGGGAGGAAAAAGCAACTGTAGCAAGATCACGGGTACCCACCTCCATCCCAAAGGTTAGCTCTGATGGGAGGGGGTCTCTCTTATGCTGTTGGTGTGTCCCTGAACAAGTCAGTCAAGCCACTCTCCCACCCAGTGGACTGCTCAGTGAAGGGTGCTCATAACAGGATGCTGGCAGACTGGTTGGGCACAAGGGTTTCAGCTTTCCTGGGGCACTGACAGACTAATCAAACACAAAGGGTTTGAGAAAATCTTCCCTTTCACATGACAGCTATTATGACAGTACACCGATGACAATATTGCTCCAATTGGGACTCTCTGGTTCTCATCCATAAGCTGATTCAGTGATTGGAGAGTCAAGGAGTGATCACTAAGGTTCATTCATCCTTTAATAGTCCCATGTGACCAGTGTGAAAGTCTAACAGAGGGTGGAGGCTGACAGTGGACTATGGAGGCATGAATGAAGTCACACTGCTGTTGAGTACTGCCATACTAGAAGTGCTAGAACTTCAATATGAACTGGAGTCAAAGGCAGCAAAGTGGTGCCACAATTGATATCGCTAATGCATTTTTCTCAATCTCTTTGACAACCAAGTGCAGACCGCAGTTCTCTTTCACTTGGAGGGATGTCCAGTACACCTGGAATCAACTGCCCCAAAGGTGGAAACACAACCCTACCATTTGCCATGGACTGATCCAGACTGCACTGGAATAAGGTGGAGCTCCAGAAAACCTACAGCGTATTGATGACATCATTGTGTGAGGCAACACAGCAGAGGAAGTGTTTGAGAAGGGAAGAATAATAATCCAAATTCTTTTGAAAGCCGGTTTTACCATAAAACAAAGTAAGGTCAAAGGACCTGCACAGGAGATCCACTTTTTAGGAATAAAGTGGCAAGATGGGTGTCATCTGATCCCAATGGATGTGATCAATAAAATAACAGCTTTGTCTCCATAAACTAGCAGAAAAGAAACACAAACTTTCCTAGGTTTCATGGGTTTTTGGAGAATGCACATTCCAGGTTTTAGTCTGATCTCAAGCCCTCTCTATCGAGTGACCTGGAAGAAGAACAGCTTTGAATGAGGCCCTGAGCAGCAGCAAGCCTTTGAAGAAATTAAATGGGAGATAGTTCATGCAGTAGTCCTTGGGCATCTAGACAGGACAAAATGTGAAAAATGTGCTTTACGTCTCAGCTAGAGATAACATCCCCACCTGGAGCCTCTGGCAGAAAGCACCTGGAGAGACTTGGGGTTGACCTCTAGGGTTTTGGAGCCAGAGATATAGAGGATCTGAAGTCTGTTACACTTCAAATGAAAAAGAAATATTAGCATCATGATGCCTCAGAATTTTTTGGATTTTTAGGTTTTTGTAGATTTTAAAGTAGTTGTGTAGTAAATATAGATTTTTAGTATAATTGTAGAGTCTGTCACACTTTAGAATAGTAAACACTCACCAAACCCTATCCCCCATTTCATTTTGAATTTTCTAAATTCTTTAGGCTTGTTTAGACTCCTTTCAAGGTAGGACTGTAGTAAACACCTGTTTAAGAACATTTGCACCCCAGGCCTGAACAACAAGATACCATCATAGTCAAAGCAACCTTCGAACCCGGAACCTTGGAGAAGCTCCAAAGACAGTACGTGCTGTGAAGAAGAGGAAGATGAGGAGAAAGGGATCTTAGGACCTCCGACTCAATTTCCGGGGAGACGTGCCAGGGGGACAGATCTGGGGGAGGGTGGTTCTCAGATTGAACCATAAATTGTGAACCCCCTGGACATGGGAACACGCATGCCGTTTATACTCCTTGTGCCAGAAGGCCTTCATTAAACATCTGCTCTCTTATCTCTACTAAATTTGCCTGGAGTTTTTCTGCTCCCGATCTTTAGGCAACAAGCATATGAAGTAATTCAAGTTGTTTCAGAAGTAGTTGATACTGAAGCCCAGCTCCTTTTGACACCTCTATTGCCCATGCTGGACTGAACGTTCAAAGAGAGGGTCCCCCATCATGCAACT